TTCCTGGCTCAAATTTTCAGCCCCCCCCCCCCCTCGTGCGTCAAACTTCTCTGTGCTGTCATTCACAAGCCACTTATTTGGGACAAGCATAAAGGTGAGATGGAGGGGAGATGTTCTGTGATCGCGGTCTCCGCAGAGGGAGCTTCTGCATCTCCCCACTCGCCACCCCTCGAGTCGCTCCGTCTCATCTCTCACGCGCAAATATCCCCATGCACCGTACCGCATATCTGCGTGACACATTACAGCTACAACCTAGCCGGCTTCAAAGGTCTCTGACCTTTGCAGTCGCGGCTTAACCGGTACCCAGAGACGCAACCATCTTATCACCGGCTCCGCCGCCACTGGGCTGACCTGTGCTGCACGGGCGCATCATGCGCGCGGGCTACAAAGCGACACACCAGACACCACGCATGGGGCTACTCCACCCGTGTTCGGTTGCTGTCCGTGTCTCGCGGCCTGGTGCTGCGCCATGTACTGCGTACCCTCGGCAGGGGAGTAGTGTAGCTCCCACTAAGCAGGCTCGCACGTGGGACGAGCTCGCGTCCGCGCGGGGCGACCCCATCGTGGAAGGCTCTACCATAGACACGCTGCGGCACGTAGGACTGTCAGCTCCCTCCTCCCTCCTGCTAGCAGGTCGCGACGCTGGCTCATAGGTCATTGCTGGTTAGTTTTTAGCGGTTATATTTTGTTTTTAAGTGTTAGTGTATTCGCATCATGTACAGCGTGCCAGCCTAAAGAGACGCTTATGGAAGGTCTTAAATAAATTGCATATGTGCATACTCACGCGCATGATGCGTACATATATGCACATACGCATGCATGCTTCATGCACATGTACATGCATGAATATGCATTTGCATTTATGTATACATGCATACATTACATACACACACACCACACACACACAACACACACACACACACACACACACACACCCACACACACACACACACACACACACCACACACACACACACACAACACCACACACACCACACACACACACCCACACACACACACACACACACCACACACACACACACCACCACACACACACACACACACACACCCACACACACACACACATTGGCATAATAAATATGTTAATGCATGCATGCATACATGCATACACACATGCATGCCTATATATATATATATATATATATATATATATATATATATATATATATATGCCTATATATATATATATAAGCCTATATATATATATATATAGGCTTATATATATGCCTGCCTATATATATATATATATATATATATATATATATATATATATATATATATATATATATATATATTGCAACGATAAAGGCCAGCGCACGATGACTGTGCAGCTCGTGTGAGACGCCGGCGTGCTCTGCACCCCCTCCGGTGATTTAGGGGGTGGGGAGCAGCTGTGGGCTTCACGTCGGTGTCGGCGCCACCGCCAAAGCCGAAACCGAGCGGACTGGGCCTCCGCAGTGCAGTCTGCCTGGATGAAATATCCGATGTACAAAGCCAAAGCCGCTCCGGATCTGCTCCTGGTCCGAACGTCATCGACTCTGCATGACGCCGGCGGCGCCCCACGCAGCGCTACGCTGCCAGCTGGGCTCTGGCCGTGTCCGCTCTGATTTTCGGCCACGAGTCGGGTCTCGGCCGTGATGATTGGGCACTAAATGTCGGAAGTCATGTCCAAAGCTTGCTATGTGTGTTCCGTGTGGCTGACACTGTGATGATTGCGCACTAAATGTCGGAAGTCATGTCCAAAGCTTGCTATGTGTGTTCCGTGCGACTGACACTGTGATGATTGCGCACTAAATGTCGGAAGTCATGTCCAGAGCTTGCTATGTGTGTTCCGTGTGACTGACACTGTGATGATTCGGCACTGAATGTCGGAAGTCATGTCCAAAGCTTGCTATGTGTGTTCCGTGTGACTGACACTGTGATGATTCGGCACTGAATGTCGGAAGTCATGTCCAAAGCTTGCTATGTGTGTTCCGTGCGACTGACACTGTGATGATTGCGCACTAAATGTCGGAAGTCATGTCCAAAGCTTGCTATGTGTGTTCCGTGCGACTGACACTGTGATGATTGCGCACTAAATGTCGGAAGTCATGTCCAAAGCTTGCTATGTGTGTTCCGTGCGACTGACACTGTGACGATTCGGCACTGAATGTCGGAAGTCATGTCCAAAGCTTGCTATGTGCGTTCCGTGTGACTGACGACTGGGTGGGCTGTGTTGGACCCATTGTATAGGTCATTTTTTCAAAAGCTTTCAAAATACATTCTTTTCTTGCGCTGCCATATGGCCAATGTTCAGCATCCTCGAATAGTAGGGTGCCATGTCACCACAGGCACGTACGCTCTTACACTCTACGGTTCTGTATAAAACTAAAGCTCGCCGAAGGAACTCTGCAGCAGAACTGCAGGACGCTTGATGAGACTGGAACGCGCTTTCACGGCATGCACGTATCCCCGTCCCTCCGGGCCATACCAGCCGTTCCTTCCGCGTATTGTTTGAACGGCTGGCATCGCCGAGCGGCTCCCGAGAGCCGTTGGTCCGTCGGTGTGACGTCACTGTTGTTGGTGTGACGTCACTGTCGTGTTCCGGCGCTAAAGACACCGGCCAGTATGCTGGCTTCACCGGCCGCGCCGCCAGTCCGAACATCCGACATCTCTGCCGTCGGTGTGACGTCACTGTCGTGAATATTCAATATGCCATATTCGTTTATTACACCACAAACACCGATGTAGGCACTAGTGGTGGATGTCAACGCGCCACGCTCTATACTGCACAAAAAACTAGATTGTCAATAGTGCATCAATGTTATGTTTGAGAATGTTGTGCAATAGTAACAATGCACGGTATTACCACGAGAATACAATAGCTAGAAACTACCCACCATGCACAGTCAGCATACAGTACTAGTGCAATTACACCTATAAAAATGACCTCATTAACGTTTTCATAATTTTTTTCAACACATTTGAAAACCGCTGTACGTTATTACACTCAGAGATCGCAAATGGGTCCGCCCGTCCCCGGTCACTGTCATGTATCTAAGTATATATATATGCCACCAACATATATATTGTGGGATGCATCATTGTCGTGTAATGTGACTCACAGTGACATCCAGCAGTCGCTGTCATCTACTGACGCCTCCACAGTCATCGTGACTTCCCCGCCGGAAATATGGCGTCTCGACCGTTGCCACGTTGCCTCTGTTGTGATGAAAGTGTCCACAGTCATTGTGACTTCCCCGCCGGAAGCATGGCGTCTCGGCCGTTGCCACGGTGCCACTGTTGTGATGAAAGTGTCCACAGTCATTGTGACTTCCCCGCCGGAAGCATGGCGTCTCGGCCGTTGCCACGGTGCCACTGTTGTGATGAAAGTGTCCACAGTCATTGTGACTTCCCCGCCGGAAGCATGGCGTCTCGGCCGTTGCCACGGTGCCACTGTTGTGATGAAAGTGTCCACAGTCATTTTGACCTCCCCGCCGGAAGTGTGACGTCTCGGTCGTTACCACGGTGCCACCGTTGTGATGAAAGTGTCCACAGTCATTGTGACTTCCCCGCCGGAAGCATGGCGTCTCGGCCGTTACCACGGTGCCACTGTTGTGATGAAAGTGGATTCCGCTTTCGATTTGACAGCCCTGGATCGATGCGATATTTGTACATTCGCCGTGACTTCCGCACCGTCACTGTGCAACACGTCGTATCGGTGACGGGTGGCCACGTACCACGCTCGGCTACCGACCGCGACGCGCCCCTGCACACCGGCCGCGGCGCCGGCGGCAGTCGGGTGCCCGAGGCTGCGGAGGGCGGTGTGTGCGTGTGTGGGTGTGAGGCGCGCCCGTCCCCAGCCGTCGTGTGTGGGTGTGTGACGCGTCCGTCCCCAGCCATGGCGGCCAGAGGTAGGTCTGTAAGGTTTGGTCGGCGGCAACAGGCTTGCCTTCAAGCGCCGGGCGACAGGCGACAGCCCTGCCTTTAGGCAACGGGCGACGGGCGGTAGGCTTGTCTTCACTGCGCGAGCAACGCTTCCTCCTTTGCCAACGCCTCCTCCTGTCCTTCCGGAGCCAGACGTGGTCCGAGAGGCCTAGCTGTGGGAGAAGGCAGCTGGGGACGACAGTGCCCTCTGATGCGTGGAGGGCGGTGAGGGGGGGCAGAGTTTGCAAGCATTTGTGAAAGTGAGACCTGTGGATGATCTGGCACGCACATGTGCCTCATGTAACCAACGAACTACGTGTTTCGGAAGCTCAACCCGTACAGATGGACCTTACCATCTCAAATCACGCTACGTAGCTGCAGGAATACACCTGAGGTACCACCTTAACACACGCGGTTGTGGCCGATGTTTTCCCGGGACCGAAGCGTTCATCGATTGATTCGGGACACGGGCACGCAGCGCCGTCACAAGTGTCACCGTTCTCCTCCTCACAGGTGGCACGTGATTTCCTCGGTGTCTGTCTCGGGCGGCCCTTACATAGCAATTTGGATGCGAAAATTTCGAGCTGTCAGTTCTCTATAAACCATTCCGTGTTTCCACATTCCAATGCGAAGAGGGCTCAGCGGCTGGCTCAAGGTGGCCACGGAGCTCCGCCAACCAGCCCGGCCTCTCCTGGGATGGCGACCGCAGGCGTTGATATGCCTCTGCCCGAAACAAAGCCCGGTACAGCACCATCACGGCGCCAGTTAGATACCAGGGTAAATCGCTCGTTACGCGGTTCAGTGCGGCCGACCAGCGGCCTTCCGGCCGCTGCCGACCGGGATCCCCATGCGCTTCTCATGACACGGCGGGTCGGCAACAACCAACAACCAGCCTTCACAAAGGTAGGGCGAGAGGAAGACGCGAGCGTCAGGCGGGGTAGAGGCTGCACAACCATTTCTTAACTTCGCCCGCGTAGATCAGTGCATATGACACACACGCATATATATATATATATCTACCTTGTTTGTTGATCGTGTGACGGAACGGCCGCTCTAATGTGAAATGATCCAACCATGTGTCGACAAGTGCTCATGACAGACCCCCGAGACGGTGGCATCTCCGGTGAGTTCTCTGCGGACGGCTCGTCAGGGAATAGCTGTATTTATGGAGAGCTGCTCATGACAGACCCCTGAGACGGCAGCATCTCCGCTGAGTTCTCTGCGGTCGGCTCGTCAGTGAATAGCTGTATTTATGGACAGCTCGGCTCCGGTGGCCGCTCGCTGTCGAGAGCAAGACGTGAATCGACTAATATAGCACGTGACGTAGTGAAGTTTCAGAATTTAGAGCAAGACGACAAAAACTGAGGCATAAGTACGTCACATGAATGAAAATTGTTGCAGACAAGTTACGTAAAGCTCCCAAAAATGTCACTCAAATGTAAGCACAAGACTATAATAAGTCCGGGTTACGAAATTCTCCCGGATTACAAATGTTGCCTATAAACAACTTGCGCATCGTCCAATGGCCATGCTGGTATACAGCTGGCCACGCGCTGTTTGGCTTAATGCATCAATCGACTTGTTATCTGGCATTTCGTGTGATGTGTCAACAGATTCAACAGTCGGAGTAGGGATTTCCAGCTGTTTTCCATGACTCTCTTTGAGAGGCGGTAAAATGTTTAAAACCATGGAAGGATCATATCTACTAAGACATACCTTTTGTATGTGATATTCGGTGCATGCAATGCTGAACATCGCCATACTTCAAATCGTCTACAACTTCCAGCTGGTTGTGACCCAAAACGGCTGTTTTGGGTAGCGCTAAAGGCGGCGCTCCTTTGCTCCTCCCAGCCTTTACATTATTGTAGGCTGCAGCCAACACACACACGCATTACCTGGAATTGCCTGGACACGCACACACATTGCGTGGACACTGATTGCCAGCAATAGGCAATCCAAAGTGACATGCCAGCGCATGCCCCTATGACAGAGTGGAATCAATCGACGGCCTTATGTGGCTTGCATGTGCGGAGTGATGTTCGGTTTACCGCATTTCATAGCGAGACCTGCCGGACAAAGCGAACCTGGACCACGTTTATGATTGCAATCGATGGGTAGCCGTTATTTCTGATGACGTCATGTCTTTGATAGACAATGCAGCCAGGCAAACGGTGCACTGGCAATGCTACGGCCTTTGGAATGGCACTTATTGCAACGTAAGCCAATATGGACACAGTCCACGCTGGTTTGTTTTATCATTGCTTCTTTTCCCAGCGTCACGTGACGTTGTGACCCGGCCGACCGGCGCTGTTGACCTCAGCGTCGCTGCGACGCAGCCCCTGTGTTATAGTTTTCTATTAGCCTTCACAGCCTCACTGTTTCACGCGTCTTTGTCCGAGGGAGTGTCAGTCTTCATTGTAGCGGCAGTGATGCTGTCAAACTTAGAACCATGGTGCGCTTGTTGTGAAGAATCCTATACCTGTGACAACAGGCACGCGTGGAACCGTGGTTAGGGCCCCAAATGCATTCGCCGATAAGCCCAAGCTGTGATTGGACCCGATACGAAAGGCCCCGGGCTGATTGGTTGTTTTGAACTGGCCAGTTTGCGGCGGTATGAGTGTTGCACCTGCCTGTGCCTGTGTTTGTAGCAACGGCTCAGCCACGCTTAAACACGCACCGAGCGCCGAGCCGCAGAAGAATTCCGCGGTCCCTCTTCCATCCGGTGCCGCAGTTTCGACCTCTTGTGCTGTGTGCGTGACACCTTGCAATGAATTGGAGAATTTGATCAGATGTGCTCAGCGAATGGCAGCCCGGCAGTCGTCAGCAGGACGATAGACTAAACGATAGACTAAACAGGCGCCTACTCACCTTGGTCTATTTCTGGCACACGTCTTTCCGAATGCGTCAACTATGCATGCTGAGCGAATGGTATGATTTGTTTATACGGGATCGCCCGGCCCAACGACCGGAAGGCCATCAAGGGCGTGTTTTTTAGGGAGTTGTTCAGGGCACATACTGTATGCCCCATTCGTTTTACAGCGCGCCTACTTGCTTGAATGGATTCGGACCGGTTGCTTAACTCTGGGGCAAAAAATTAATGGGGGGGGGGAGGGGACATTCCGACGATATC